CCCGCGTCCTCCCTCCCGGGCCCCCTCTCCCTACTCCCCCCACACCCCCTCTGCATCGCCCCCACCCAGCTGGGGTCTAAAGGGCCTCGAATGTTCCGGCAAAACTGTGAGGGGCGGGGAGGGAAACTGAGGCAGGAGTCACTCCCTCCCCCCTTCTTTCTCCCCCCACCCACCCCCACTCCTCATCACCCTCCCCCCCTCCCTCCTCATCCCCCAACCTGGGGGACCCCCCCCCCGGCCCCTGGAGGCCCGGAGAGGCTGCGTCCTCCTCCTCCTCCTCCTCCTCACGGGCCTCAGTTTCCCTGCTGCGTCCTCCCCGCACCCCGTTACTACACCGCCCAAGTTTTGCCCGCGCGCGCGGGGGCCCCTTTAAGGACCCGGCCCTCCTCCAAGGCGAGGCCACTTGAGCACGTGAGGCCGCTTCAGGAAGCAGACAGACAGACAGACACCCGGGGTGGGGGGGAAGAGGGAGATGTGCTGTGGCCCGCCCTGGGGTTCTCTGATCTGAGGGGAAACTGAGGCCAGAGAGAGAGCGCAAAGCCTGATGGGGGGATTTGAGGCACTCCGTGAGGTGGTGGCGGGGGCTTTGGCCCTGGTAGGGTGGGGTTCGCTTGGGGGATCTGAAGGTAGTGGGGATGGGGGGGATGCTTGTAGACACACACACACACTCACACACACAGTGGGAGCTTTCTGTGGACCTGGCCCACTGATTGGCTGAGCTGGAGTGACTGTTGTGTTCTGTCCACAGCCCCTGGAGGATCCGCCCGGCTCCACTCCACCCCGCCACCCCTGCCATGAGTGGCTGAAAGTGTAGCCTGCCTCTTCAGGTGAGAGCCTCCCTCCTTCCCTTTCCCTCCCTCCCCTCCTCCTCCTCTTCTCTCTCTGTCTCCCCACCCCCTTCCCCTTTTCCATCTTTTGAGTTAGGAGGGAAATTTGTATTTCTCTCTCTTGCTCCCCTCTCCAACTTTTCTGGAACTGAATGAATTCTCTTGCAACAGGAAGTGTGTCGCTGGAAGGAGAGGTATGAGTGTGAGGGTTTGTCATGGGCAGTGGTGGTTTCCATTGCTAAGTTTCCAGCCTCAGGGGCAGTGAGAGCCAATGTGGATTGAATCCTTGGGCCTTCTCTGGAAACCAGTCACCCAGCCAGAAAGTGGAAATGGGCTGGAACCAGACAGTTGCTCCTTTGCTTGCTTCCTTGCTTGCTTGTGGTTTGAACTCAGGAGCCTGGATGCTGTCCCTTAGCTTTTCTTGCAAGCATTTTTTCTCTACCACTTGAGTCATAGCTCCACTTCTGGATTCTGTGTGTGTGTGTGTGTGTGTGTGTGTGTGTGTGTGTGTGTGTGTGTGTGTGTGTGTGATGGTTTAATTGGAGTTAAGAGTCTCACAGACTTTCCTGTCTGGGCTGGCCTCCAACCAAGATCCTCCCATCTCAGCCTCCTGAGGGATGACAGGCTTAAGCCGCCAGTGCCCAGCTACTTGGCTCTATTATAGTCCAGGTGGCTGACTCTGACAGGTGTCTTAACCTCCAGCCTGATGCATGCATACCTCTCTTGTTGGATTGTTTGGGGGATTAATGAAGTAGCTGTGTATTAACACTTGTTGATAGTTCCTGGCATATAAGTTAAGTACTCAGTGAAGATTTTGTTATGATCAAAGGACAGAGGAATGAACATAGCTGGAGCACAGAGTAGGAAAAGACAATGAAACCCACAGACCAGGAGCACGGGTGGGTCAGAAGACCGTGGGAGGCACCTCAATGTCATGTTACCAGAGTTTATTTATTTTTTTGGGGTCCAGTCGTGGGGTCTGAACTCTGGGCCTGGGCGCTGTCCCTCAGCTCTTCAGCTCAAGGCTAGTGCTCTCCCACTTGAGCCACAGCGCCACTTCAGCTTTTTTCTTTTTGCTTATGTGGTGCTGAGGAATCAAACCCAGGGCCTCATGCATTCAAGGCAAGCACTCTACCACTGAGCCACCTTCCCAGCCCCGTGTTACCAGAGTTTAGAAATTTCCTTGGCCTCTTAACAAAGCAGCTTCAACTTGGCCTGCACCCATGGGTAACAAATAATTCCATAAAAGTTTTCTATAGGCCTGAAGCACTACCTTTTCAGACTAAAGTCTATTCACTTTTAGCCTGGTACTGGCTAAAAGGTTCAAGCCTGTAATCCTAGCTAGTTAAGGAAGCTGAGATCTGAGGCTCACAGTTCGAAGCCAACACATGTAGAAAAGCCTAAAAGATTCCCATCGCCAGTTAAGTAACAAAATGTCAGAAGTGGCTGGGTGCTGGTGGCTCATGCCTGTCATCCTCGCTACTCAGGAAGCTGAGATCTGAGAATCACAGTTCAAAGCCAACCTGGACAAGAAAGGCTGTGAGATTCTTGACCTCCAGTGAACCACCAGGAAACCAGAAATGGAGCTATGGCTCGAAGTGGTAGAGCACTAACCTTGAGCAAAAGAGCTCAGGGACAGTGTCCAGGCCCTGAAGTGGAGGTATGATTTAAGTGCTAGAATGCCGGCGTTGAATGAAAAAGCTAAGCAAAAGTGTGAGGCCCCGAGTTCAGGCCCCAATACTGTCTAACACACACACACACACACACGTCTGTTAATTTTTGTTGTTGTTGGTCATGGGCCCTGAACTCGGGCTGGGTGCTGTCCCTCAGCTCTTCAGCTCAAGGATAGTGCTCTACCATTTGAGCTACAGCACCACTTCTAGTTTTTCTGCTTATATGGTACTGAGGAATCGAACCCAGGGCCTCATTCATGCATGACAAGCACTCTACCACTGAGCCACCTTCCCAGCCCAAAGTCTGTTTAGTTTTTAATACTAAATTTTTTTAAATACTAAATTTTATTTATTTATTTTTTTTGGGTCTGGTTGTGGGGTCTGAACTCTGGGCCTGGGCGCTGTCCCTCAGCTCTTCAGCTCAAAGCTAGCGCTCTACCACGTGAGCCACAGCGCCACTTCCGGCTTTTTCTGTGTATGTGGTGCTGAGGAATCGAACCCAGGGCCTCATGCATGCAAGGCAAGCGCTCTACCACTGAGCCACCTTCCCAGCCCTTAAATACTAAATTTTAATACTAATTTTTAAATAATTGGAGTAGGACTATTCCCCTAGTAAGCTCTGTCCTTTCCTGAGGTTTCTAGCTCTAAGCTGTCTGGATGCCTAGAAGTTCTGCCTAAAATAGAACGGTTGACACTGTGACTGTTTCTGAATAGCTTTTCCTTGACTTTTTTTTTTTTATATTTTTTGGCCAGTCATGGGGCTTGAACTCTGGGTCTGGGCTCTGTCCCTCAGCTCTTCAGCTCAAGATGAGCGCTCTACCACTTAAGCCACAGCACCACTTCTGGTTTTCTAGTGGTTAATTGGAGATTAAGACCTCATGCTTTCTAGGCAGGCTCTCTACCAGTTTGTTTTGCTTTAGTTATTTTTCAGAGGTTTTGTCCAGGGGTGGAGGGGTGTTTGGTTTTGTGTTTTTGTTTGTCCAGGGCATTTTCAGACCAAAATCCTCCCACCTATAGCCTCCTGAACAGCTGGGACTACAGACAGGGACCACTGAACTTAGCTTATTGATTAAGATGGGCTTACAACTTTCTGCTGAGCTGGCCTGGAACCAATATCCTTTTATCCTCCTCCACTCCTCCCTGTCTCTCTCTCTCTCTCTCTCTCTCTCTCTCTCTCTCTCTCTCTCTCTCGTGTGTGTGTGTGTGTGTGTGTGTGTGTGTGTGTATGGGCGTGTGCGGGCGCGCACATGTCAGTCCTGAGACTTGAACTCAAAGCCTGAGTGCTGTGTTCCTGAGCTTTTTTGCTTAAGCGTAGGGCTCTATCATTTGAACCACAGTTCCAGTTCTGGCTTTTTGGTGGTTCATTGGAGATAAAGGTCTCATGGGACTTGCCTGCCTGGGCTGGCTTTGAACCACGATCCTCAGATCTCAGCCTCCTGAGAAGCTAGTTAGTATTATAGGTGTGAACCATCAGCACCTGGCTTTCTTTGCTACCCCTGAGTAGCTGGGATTACAGGCCATAGTGGTGCTAGTCTCAAACTGTTTCTTACCTTTTTTTTTTTTTTTTGGTCTGGTCGTGGGGCTTGAACTCGGCCTGGGCGCTGTCCCACAGCTCTTCAGCTCAAGGCTACCACTCTACCACTTGAGCCACAGCGCCACTTCCGGCTTTTTTCTTTTTGCTTATGTGGTGCTGAGGAATCGAACCCAGGGCCTCATGTATGCAAGGCAAGCGCTCTACCACTGAGCCACCTTCCCAGCCCCCCATTTTTCTTTCTATGCCAGTCCTGGGACTTGAATTTAGGGCTTGGGGCCATCCTTTAACTTTTTTTGTTCAAGGCTAGCACTCAACAACTTGAGCCACAGATCCCCCTCTGCGATTTTGCTTGTTAATTGGAGAAAAGCGTCTGGGGTTTGTCTGCCTGGGTTGGCTTTGAACCACGATCTTCAGATCTCAGCCTTCTGAACAGCTAGAATGACAAGCGAGAACCCACAACAAGCCAGGGCCACCAGGCTTGTCTCTTCCCTTCTTTGAACTGGGAAAGCGGAATGAAGCTTGTTCGCATCGGCAGGTCCTGTCTGAGACACTTTGGCTGGACTTTGTTCTGACTGCTCAGGCTGGATTGCTCTATTCTCTCTTTTTGGTTCTGGATGGGTGAGCTGTGGGAAAGCAAGGTCCCTTGCAGGCCAAATGTACCCAGAAAAGGAAAGCTTCAGATAATAAGCCTTTCCCTGGTGCATCTTTTCTCTCTGAGGTTTTGTTTCTCTGGGTTTTCCTACTTGTTAATAAATGTGTAGACCTGACACTTGTCGGTCTCCTGCTGACAACAGAGCATGAGGTTGGGAAGGCTGGGCTGGCAGTTCGGCTCAGCAGTGAGAAAGAAGAGAAAATGTAGGGACAAGGCAGACTGTTGGCAGCTCCCTGTCTTGGGAGAGATTCATCAGGGCCAGATGTCCCTAGCTGACTCATTGCCCCCCTCGATGACTCAGTTTCCCCAGGTGTGACCAGAGCTGCCAGCTAGCTGCCTCTCAGAGGTACTCCAAGAGCTTCGACAACGACGATGACTGTGATTAAGAAATAAAGAAGCTTGTGGCTTCAGTCATCCTTTGTAGCTCCCTTCTAGGTCATTCTAGTGTGTGTAAACACTTCTGGCCCCTCCCCCTGTGGGTTGGAGCACCCAGGGAAGGTTCAGGTTGGACCACAGACTGGCCGGCAGCAAGGCAGGGACCATCAGAGCAGGGTACCAGCCTCCTCTCTCTCTCTCTCTCTCCTGTCTCCTTTGCAGCTGCCTTGGGGTGCTGTGGGAGGGGCCCAAGAGTCATGTCGGACCTATTACTCCTGGGCCTGATCGGGGGCCTGACTCTGCTACTTCTGATGACGCTGCTGGCCTTCGTCGGGTATTCAGGGCTGCTGGCCGAGGTGTCCGTGAGTGCGGGCTCGCCCCCCATCCGCAACATCACCATGGCCTACAAATTCCACGTGGGACCCTATAGTGACACAGGGCAGCTTTTCACCGAGAGCTGCAGCATCTCCCCCAAGCTCCGCTCCATTGCTGTGTACTACGACAATCCCCACACGGTAAGGACCCTCCTCGGGTGGAGGCTGGGCCTGGGCTGGGTGTGGACGAAGAGAACTTGAGTTTCAAAGGAAAAGGGTGGGAAAATCTTGGTCCCGGTTCTACAGACCACTTCCTCTTGGAGCTTAAAGCCAGATTACCAGCTCCATGACCGCTTTAGGGACCCAGTAGCTTAGCTTAGCTTAGCTTTCTACTTGCCCCTACATTTGGTTACCCTTGCTCATGGATGTTTGAGTGTCATGGGCCAGAGCACTGTGAGTCCTTCCCTTCTGCCTGGACCTTGGTCTCCTCTTGATGTCCCTGTCCCATTCATCCCCATTTGGGGCCATGCTCAACAAGCCAGGCCAATCAGATTCTGCCCAATCTAGGGATACACTGCCCTCCCCGCCCACCCCCAGTCCTGGGGCTTGAACTCAGGGCCCAGGCACTGTCTGTTTCTGAGCTTCTATTTGCTCAAGACCAGCACTCTACCACTTGAGCCACAGCAGAACTTACAGCTTCTTCTGAGTAGTTTATTGGAGATAAGAGTCTCACAGACTTTCCTACCTGGGTTGGCCTCAAAACTAGACTCTCACGTCTCAGACTCCTGAGTAGCTAGGATTACAGGTATGGGTCCAAGGTACACTGCTCAGGCAAGGTTATATCTTTTTTTGTTTTTGGTGGGTTGTGGGGCTTGAACTCTGGGCCTGGGCTCTGACCTGGAGCTCTTCAGCTCAAGGTGAGCGCTCTATCACTTAAGCCACAGCGCCACCTCTGGTTTTCTGCTGGTTTATTGGAGATAAGAGTCTCACGGACTTTCCTGGCCAGGCTGGCTTTGAACCGTGATCCTCAGATCTTCAGCCTCCTGAGTAGCTAGGATTATAGACGTGAGCCACCGGCACCTTGTGAAGGGTTCTATCTTGCTGTTCTATCTTGCTGCTCCTCTTTCCTTTCGTCAGCTCTCTTGCTGAGAGTGTAGGCCCTTAAGGGCTGGAGAAGACAGTTCCCCTGGCTTGGAGCCTTGGGAATCACACCTCTGTGGCCATTCTGGAGCCACCTGCCCCAATGGCAGGAGATTGCCTTAAACGTGGAGTTGCCTGGTTGGGACAGGGCCAAGTGGAGCCAAATGAGCTGCTTAGAATGTCCAGGATGCTAAGGTCCAAGACTAATCCAGCAACACCCGCACCCTGTGGGTGTATGCCTGTACTTATAGCCTCTAGTGAGTCAGGGCTTGCCAATGTAGCCTCTTGCCATGCAGTGGGGTGGTGCTGCCCACAGCTGTATGGGCCAGCAGCTCCACCAAGGATCTTAAGGAACCTTTTTTTTTTTTTTTATGGGTTATGGGGCTTGAACTCTGGGCCTGGGCACTGTCCCTCAGCTCTTCAGCTCAAGGTGAGCACTCTACCACCTGAGCCACAGCGCCACTTCTGGTTTTCTGGTGGTTCACTGGAGACGAGTCTCATAGGGACTCAATCCTCAGATCTCAGCCTCCTGAGTAGGCTAGGATGACAGGCGTGAGCCACTGGCACCTGGCTTCTGCCCAGGATCTTCCAGCCTTCATTTCCGAGTGTCATCAACCAGACATTTGGAATTCCCAGCCCTGATTTCCTTGCCTGGAAAACTCCAGTGGATGAGGCCTGGAACCTCCCCACTGACTGCCAATCAGAGCACTCCAGGCCCCTCATTGGAGCACTGTTGCAGCTGAAGGCTGACTCCCTCTCTAGATCCTGATTCCATTGTCAGTCCTGCTGTAGACCTGTATTCCGGCCCTGCCCTCAGAAAAACTGTGGGTTGGCATACAAGCCTCCCACACAATGATTTTCACACAACAACACTAGGCCCCACTCTCTCCAGGAGTTGGGGCTGAGAAAAAGTGTCTCAGGCTTAGAGAAGAGTTAGATTTCAGCTGACTCTTCTCACTTGAGTAGAATTTGGCTCAGCCCTGAAGAGCCACTCAGCTCAGAGAACAGAGGCCTAGGGACACGGGACGAAGGGCTTGGTGAGTAGAGAAGGAGGTGGATAGGTTCTCTCTGAGCTAGGCAGGAGGGAGTTACAGCAGGTGGCAACGATGGGTGTGGTGGCAACTTCATTTTAGGAAGCTAACTGGATGGCCGGTGGAGGAGGAAAGACGAGGCCCTTGAAGATACTGGGCTGGGCCTGGGTGAGAGGCAGGTGACCTGGGTGGTTGTGGGCTGGCTGAGGGATGAGTAGACATTGTCTGAGGGTTGGGTTTTGTTTTGGTTTTTGGTCCCATGGCTGGGAGATGACACTGAGTGACATCAGAAGCACTGGGGCTCAGCGTATGATCTCTACTTCCAGGATAGGAAAGGACAGGGTAACCGGTACCCTGGGCTTCCTGCTGGAGGTGAGCGGGGGAAATTGAGGGAAGGATACTCAATCCCCCTGGTCTGGCCACCGCTTCCAGGGAGCCCACAATACAGCTCTCCCAGAGATGGGATGGGTCTGAGGTATCCAAGGTTGACTTGGATGCTAGCTTACCTTAGGGAGTCACATGGCTGGAGAGCAGGCAGTTGCTGGGTTCCGATTTTTCTCCCATCATGAGTTGCTGTGTGACCTTGGGCCTACTCCATAACTCTTCTGAGCTTCTATCATTCTCTGCAGAATAGCGGCAAAATACCGGGCCTTATAAATACAGACAGCCAAGGGTTCACATAAATGATCTAGAGGAGGCATTCACCCCAACACCTAGTCCTCAATAGATGGCTAACAACGAAGAAAAGGGTAGAACCTAACATCAGTCTACGCCAAAGGGTCAGGCTGAGCACTGCCACTTGGGCCCAGGCCAGCCCTTGGGGACACAGGGGTTCCCGCCCACTCGGGACAGTCCCTTCTCTGCCTAGCGGAGGTTGTAAAAGGTCTGTCTGGCATAACCTCTCACATGAGTTCCCAGAAATGTCTGCTACCGAGGGGGAAAGGAGCAGGCAGATGGCAGCGCCCGTAGATCAAGATGGATGGACACTCCTACACACATACCTGCTGGCCCCTTCACAACCCAGTAGATCATTCTTCTGTGGTTTGGCCCCAGCATTCCTTTGAGAGCAGGAAACATTTTCCTGGCTACTGGATCACTCCCTGGATTTTTTTTTTTTTTTGAGGGGGGCGGTCGGTCATGGGGCTTGAACTCTGGGCCTGGGCGCTGTCCCTGAGCTCTTCAGCTCAAGGCAAGCGCTCTACCACTTGAGCCACAGCGCCACTTCTGATTTTTTTGGTGGTAAGAGTCTCATGGACATTCCTTCCCCGGGCTGGCCTTGAACCGTGATCCTCAGATCTCAGCCTCCTGAGTAAGCTAGGATTATAGACGGGAGCCACCAGCTGCCTGGCTCCCTGGATTATCTTAATGGCTGTTTCCTTGCAGTGTCTGGTTCACTCTGTTTCCCATGGCTAGCTTGATAGGTCTCTGCTTAGCAGAGGGTGGGCTTGCTGAGGGACCTTCTGGGCTTCCCTTTGGCCACTGTGTCCTGACTTATAGGACCCGGGAGTCACTCAGGCAGAAAGATACTCCTGTATCCCAGATATTTCAGAATCCTGGAAGCCCTATGCCTTCTTAGCTACTTCTGTCCACTGGTTGGAGCTCTTCCCTTTCTCCAGTTGGAAGGAGAGGATGTTTGAGTTTGGTACAGGGCCTGTGTGTGTGTGTGTATATGTGTGCACGCACGCACGCATGCATAAACCATCGCTAAGCATGCTTGAAGAACTTTGGTGTGTGGGAAATATCCTGGACCTTTTTGCCTTAAGGCCAAGAGAGAGAGGGAGGGCTGGGGAGGTCTTAGTGTATTAAGCACAGGACTTGCTGGGTGGTTGGGGGGTGGGGGAAGGACAGGCATTTGGGGTTGGAGAGGAGGGCCAGCTTAGTGGGGAACAATACAGGGCTCTGAGGAGGGAGAATTGAACTGAATCTTACAAAGGGACCAGGAATTTCCCAGGCCAAAGGGATGACAAGGAACATGTCAGGCAGAGGAAGTAGCTTATGCAAAGACGGGCAGCTTGGCTGCCAAGGACGTGGCATGTTTGGCTGCAAATAGTTCCATGTGGGTGTGTTTTCAAGGGGTGTGGTGGCCAGAGCCTAGATCTGCCCCTCCTCCTGCCACATAAATGCTGCACGTAAATGCATGCTGGGCCGGGCTCCGGCCTCTGCCCGGCTAGCTAGGGCTGCAGGGTGTGAGGTGAACAGAGACAGATCCAGCCCATATCAAGTGGACTCAGGACTAAACTGGGAGTTATTGAGAAGATCACGTGTTCCAGTGCCTGGGAGGTGGGGTGGGGTAGGGGGGACTTATAAAGAAGCTTCTGGGAAGACCCTGGGATTCCAACCCAGACAAACTGGCAGTGGAGAAGAGACATCAAGTAACCTAACCATTTCTCCCTTTAACCTATATTAGAATATTTTTTTTGCCAGTCCTGGGGCTTGAACTCAGGGCCTGGACACTGTCCCTGAGCTGCTTTTGCTCAAGGCTAACACTCTACCACTTGAGCCACAGCACCACTTCTGGCTTTTTCTGTGTATTGTGGTACTGAGGAATGGAACCCAGGGCTTCATGCACGCTGGGCAAGCACTCTACCACTGAGCCACCTTCCTAGCCCCCCCATAGAATTAAAAAAAAAAAAAAAGTTTTCATCCAGCCTAGGTTGCTAGGATCAGAGAGATGCAGACTGACTTTTAGCTCTGTCCAGCTGGCCATTCCAGTCTCTATAAATAGTGCAGAGGTGCCATCTAGAGATAAGACGTAGTACTGCAGCAATCTCCTGTGTGCTGTCTGGGTGGAGTGGGAAGGGCTTTGGGCCTCGAGAGGTGACTGCTGGGAGTTGATCTGATGTGGGTAAGAGAGTGGGCAGGGGAGAGAAGTGTTGCGTAAGAACACCCCCAGGGGATTGCTGACAGCGCTAAGAAAGGGCTCACGCCTGTGATCCTAGCTGCTGAGGAAGCTGAGAGCTGAGGATCATGGTTCAAAGCCAGCTGGGGCAGAGGAGACTCTTATCTCCAATTAACTACTCAAAAGACCAGAAGTGGGGCTAGGAAGGTGGCTCAGTGGTAGAGTGCTTGCCTTGCATGCATGAGGCCCTAGGTTCGGTTCCTCAGCACCACATAAGCAGAAAAAGCCGGAAGTGGTGCTGTGGCTCACGTGGTAGAGCACTCGCCTTGAGCTGAAGAGCTGAGGGACAGCGCCCAGGCCCAGAGTTCAGGCCCCACGACTGACCAAAAAAAAAAAAAAAGACCACAAGTGGTGCTGTGGTTCAAAGTAGTAGAGCACTAACCTTGAGCAAGGGTAGCACCCAGGCCCTGAGTTCAAGTCCCCAAACAAAACCAAAAAAAAAAAGACAGGCAGACAGCAAATGACCTCACAGTACTGGAAGAATAAGTGGATATAGAGGTAGTTGACGTACTTACATTTAGGAGTCAGTAGGCCCTGGGTAGGGGGAAAAAAGCTTGAGCCTTCAGATCAAGCACATTAAGAATGCAAAATCTGCACTGTCATCCTAGCTACTCAGGAGGCTGAGATCTGAGGATCACAGTTCAAAGCCAGCCAGGGCAAGAAAGTCCATGAGACGCTTATCTCCAATAAACCACCAGAAAACCGGAAGTGGCTCTATGGCTCAAGAGCGCTCGCCTTGAACTGAAGAGCTGAGGGACAGCGCCCAGGCCCAGAGTGCAAAATCTGTGTGGGGAGAGTTCCTGTGACTATTCCTGAATACAGGAACACTTGCTTCCTATGTGTCCAGCATAGATCAGTACAGACGTAGGTAGCAGAAAAGTCAACAGGAGAAGCAGGTAGAAGAAGGTGAAGCAAACGGGGGCTGCCTGAAACAGGTAGAGCCAACCACTATCCCAAGGCCTCCAGACCTCTTCTCTTAGGTCCTCTCGGTCCCTAATTCCTGCGTGTCCTGCCCTACTCCCCTTTCTCACCCACCATTTCTCCACCAGTGAGGCTTACTCCTCAGGAGATGAGGGAAATGAGCTATGGGGCTGTGCGGGATCCATACCTCTGGATCAGCGGGACTACAGTCCTGTCTGGGCTCCCGGAAGTTGGGGGCCGACAGAAGTTCCCATCCGGAAATGGCTGTTCCCCTCAGTGTTGCTGTTGATGGGCCTTGCAACTGGTGACAGTTCAGAGATCATTCACTCTCCTGGGCCCACTGTTGTTTTTGTCAGTTGTGGGCCTTGAACTCTGGGCCTGGACTCTGTCCCTCAGCTCTTCAGCCCCCAAGGCAAGCACTCTACCACTTGAGCCACAGCGCCACTTCCGGTTTTCTGAGTGGTTTATTCAAGATAAGAGTCTCAGGGACTTTTCTTGCCCCAGCTGCCTTTGAACCATGATCCTCAGATCTCAGCCTCCTGAGTAGCTAGGATGACAGGCGTGAGCCACCAGCACCTGGCTGGTCTCTTCACTCTTGACTCCTGGATGTCAACGTGGCGTATTTATTAAACTGAGGGACCAATGAGAGTCCTCCCCAGGATGAACAGAGGAGGGCCACATTTATTTTAGCAGGAAAAAAATGTCTGGCTTCATCCGGGTACCTGTGTGTCCTGTCAGAAGTAGCTCTCAGGCCTGAGCCAGCGCAGACATGGAGGGGGGGACCCCAAGGGCTCCCCTCCTCCGCCCAACTTTGAAACTCTTGCTCTGACTCCACAGATTCCCCCTGGGAAGTGCCGCTGCGCGGTGGGCAGCATCCTGAGCGAAGGGGAAGAGCCACCCTCTCCTGAGCTCATCCAGCTCTACCAGAAATACGGCTTCAAGATATTCTCCTTCCCCGCACCCAGCCACGTTGTGACAGCCACCTTCCCTTATACCACCACGCTGTCTATCTGGCTGGCTGCCCGCCAAGTTCATCCTGCCTTAGACACCTACATCAAGGTAAGGTGTCTTAAGTCTGACCTGTGGAGGGAATTCTACCAGGGTGGGAGGAAGTGGTTTGGGGAGACCAGGGGCCCCTGGAGCAGGTGCCAAGGAAACTAGAAAGATGGGCAAAGGTTGTTGCCCCCCCCCCTCTTAAATTCAGAGCCTCACACTCTTACTTAGGTCTTTTTTTGTTTTTGTTTTGGCCGGTCCTGGGGCTTGAACTCAGGGCCTGAGCACTGTCCCTGAGCCCACATGAGCCTCAGCGCCACTTCCTGCTTTATCTGTGTATGTGGTACTGAGGGCTTCATGCATGTTAGGCAAGCATTCTACCCCTAAGACACATTCCCAGCCCTCTTGCTTAGCTTTTTATGCTCATATTGTTGCTCTACTACTGGAATCAAGCCTTCACTAAGGGCCTTTTGCTGGTTAATCAAGAGATCAGTGTCTCTTGGTTTGTCTGCCTGGGTTGGTTTGGAACCTCAATCTCCAGATCTCAGGCCTCTTGATTAGTTAGTAATACTGGAGTGAGCCACCATCATGCATTTCTGCTAGCATCTCTTTTATTGTTTTATTGTCTATCAATCTGTCTATCTATTTATTTACTTACTTTGTGCCAGTACTGGGCCTTGAACTCAGAGCCTGGATGCCATCCATTAGCTTTTTCACTGAAGGCTAGCACTCTACCACTTGTGCCACACCTCTACTTCCAGCTTTTTGGAGGTTGACTGAAGATAAAGAGTCTCACAGCCAGGCAATGGTGGCTCACGCCTGTCATCCTAGCTACTCAGGAGGCTGAGATCGGAGGATCATGGTTCAAAGCCAGCCTGGGCAGGAAAGTTCGTGAGACTCTCATCTCCAATTAATCACCAGAAAATCGGAAGTGGTGCTGTGGCTTAAGTGGTAGAGCTGAAAGACTGTGCCCAGGCCCCTCAAGTTCAAGCCCCACAACTGACCAAAAAAAAAAACACCAAAACTCAGGGACAATGCCCAAGCCCTGAGTTCAAGCCCCAGGACTGGCACACACATAAATAGTCACACACAAAAACCAAAACCTTGCTGTTAGGTACATTCCCCCCACCCTCCTCTAAATACTTCATAATAAGTTTGGGTGCTAGGTACTCTGCAGCATGATATAAATAGTTGTGCACTAAAGATGAGTAATCAATGTCAGATGAAGAATGGCATATGTGCCAGGAATGAACAGAGTACTAAAGTCAGGGGACCCACTTGAACAACAGTAGGATAGCAGCCTCAGGGAGGAAGTCATCTCAAGGTTAGAGGAAAGAATGTTCCAGGCAAATAAGGATGAGGAGCACAGGTTTGATCGAAATGCACTGATTTGAGGGCGGGGGGGGGGGATTGGAGTAACAGCGTGAGACGCGTTGATCTCAGCAATGACGAAAGCATCACAAGTTTGAGGTCAGCCTTGGCTATATAGTGAGAGACCCTGGCTCAAAAACAGAAACAACAACAACAAGGGGTCTGGAAGTGTAGATCAGTGATAGAGCAGGTGCCTAGAGCTTCTAGGTTCAGTCTCCACCTCCTCTCCCCCCGCCCCCAGCCAATCAATGTGAAGTCACTTTACAGACTGTACAAGGCAGACTTCCCCGTGCCTGAGCAGGGTGGGCTGGATCGTGGCTGGAGGGACAGGCAGGTATTCTCAGGAGGCTGTCGTGAAGCTCAGCATAAAAGGCAGCGGTATGAGCTAGGCAGGGGCCATGAAGACACAGACTCTGTATGGAGATTTGTGATCTCCTTTGGGGGTGGAACTGATGGGCTTTGGGGGTAGGTTGGCTACTATTGGGGGAAAATGGGAAGAGGGGTATCACAGAGGGCTCTGCCTCTCTCTCTCTTCTGGTCTGAGCCACAGGATGAGTGCCCAGTGAAGAACTGAGGGAGGACCAGGTTTGGGGGTGTATGTGGGGGGACAGACGCTGTGGGCCGTATCAGTTGAGCTGCCTTAAGAGGCATCTGGGTGGGGGTGTGGAGGCAGCTGATGGTAGTGTCGTGTGTAAAAGAGAGAGTTCAGAGAGGCCTGGGCTGAAGGATATTGGGGGGAGAGGAATGGCGGGGGAGGAATGGCGGGGGGTGGGGGGGAATGGATCAGCCTGGTGACAGCATTTGGCCCAGGAAGCTGCTTTTTTAAAATTATTATTATTTAGTTGCTTCATCAGCCCTGGGACTTGAACTCAGGGCCTGGCCACGGTCCCTGAGCTTCTTTGGCTCAAGCCTAGCGCTCTTACCACGTGAGCCACAGCGCCACTTGTGGCTTTTTTTTTTCTGTGTATATGGTACCGAGGAATCGAACCCAGGGCTTACCTGCATGCCAAGCAGAGACATCTGTGCCCACTCAGCCTGCCCCCCTCAGGGCGAGGGGTGGGGTGGGGGTCCCCCACCCATCATCTCAGTCAGGGGGAGGCTGGCCAGCCTCACCCCCAAGGCCTAATCACTGTGAAGAGACACCCTGGGTCCCAGACCTCAGCACCCCGGCGCATGGCATGTGGTGTGGTGGCACGCAGCAGCCCCAGCTCACCAAAGCCTTTTCCTGGCTTCAGGCATTTATTTTTAGACACCTTTGTCCAAATTTCCCCGGCCCCTGACAGCTTCACAAGTTGCCTGGTTTTTTGACGTCACCCCTTAGATGAAAGCCCTCCCTTCTTACTCCCCCTCTCGTGGGAGTTGTCAGCTGTGTGCTCTGGGCTCCCATTTTCCCCGGGGTGGGGGCAGGGGACAGGAAGCCAGGGCTATGGAAAGGGGCCGGAGGGGGGGGTGGTGGTGGTGGTAGGTAGAGCAAGGGTCTTCTAGAGATGTCTGGGAGGCAAGTTTTGGGTGAGTGTGACCACGGGAGAGCTCCACAGCCAAAGTCCTCTCAGCTTGTTTCCATGGGATGGGAGGGGGGCAGGTCCCTTTTGCTCCTATATTTCACCTGACCTTATGCCCTGGGGGGGGGGGGACTTTAGGATGAAGGAGAGATGAGGGAGAAGCTATCTGCTGGTCATAACCTATGGTGGATGGGTGGACCCTGTGTCTCTCAGCCCAGAAGACAACAGTATAAATACGAAGCTGCCTCCCACTCCCGCCTTCCCCACTGCCCTTCGGTCAGAGAAAGGAAGCTACTAATGAGACTCTGACTCTCGCAGCCCTCCCGACAGCCCTGAAGCGGGGGTGGAGGGAAGAGATAGTTTACCTTGTTGGGAGAGGGGCCAGGCACACACACACACACACACTTTTCATTTTCCCCTGTGGACCTGGGCCTGCTGTGAAGGTTCTTCGGATGGACTGACAGCACAAGCCGTCAGCATTCTGTTCCAGGAGGAACGAAGGAGGCCCAGGGTCCCGGCTGCCAGGAGGAGAGGAAACAAGAACTTAGCAAGACTCAACCTGCCTCCCCAGAGGCCGGGGTGAGAGGGTGCACAGGGTCTCAGAGAGAGAGAGAGAGGGAGAGAGAGGGAGAGAGAGCGCATGCTCTGTGGGCACAGCTGCCTTCCTGCCTGCTTACAGATGTGCTGGGGGAGCCTGAGGCGGGATTGGTCTCCTGGGACCGAAAGGGACCCGGGGTGGGGGTGGGGGATGGGGGGGGGTCACTGTCAGAAGCTCAGAAAGATGCATTTGTCAGGCCCCTTGGGGTTCTGGAAGGAATGGCCCGATCGTGGCTTTGTGATCTGCATGTGCCAGCCGCTGGCTCTGGTGGTCAAGCGTCCTCAGCTTAGAAGCCTGGCAAACCGAGATGCTTTCTTTTTTCTTTTTTCTTTTTTTCCACATGAACTACTAGAGGTCCCCAGGCTGAGCACTGTGAGACAGCGTGTATGCAGGATTCCTGGTCCCTGGGTGACCCATTTCCGTAGACAAAGATGGACCCCCTAGGAAAGTTGGTCCCGGGCAGGAGACTTGACTCCCAAGAATGGGGTGTTTGCTTGCAGCAAGGAGAGGGGACTTCCTTGAACTTGAAAGCTGCCTGCCGAACCCAGAGAAATGGGCAAAGACCCCCTAAATGCACTTCAGGATCGAACCAGTCTCAGTAATTGTCTAGGAAGGCTTTAAGCATGTGGAGCGCCCAGGACTGATTGAAGGGGCCAAGGGGTCCCTGGTGTAGGTTGTGTGTGAAAGCCGTGGAACTTGGCTCAAAGTTGTCCATGGCAGTTGATGCAGATCCTTGAGTGCCCGCCTAGCCTAGCCCAATCTTCCTCTGCCTGACTCCTCTTCCTAATGCAGTCCTGAATCTTCTCCATAAACCCCATTCTCCTGGAGCTTGTGATCTCTGGGAATGCTCTGAGGGAGGTTCTTCATACCATTCTTTTCTTTTTTTTTCTTTTGTTTGTCACGGGGCTTGAACTCTGGACTTAAACACTATGCCTCAGCTCTTCAGCTCAAGGCTAGCACTCTGCCACTTGAGCCACAGTGCCACTTCCGGTTTTCTAAGTGGTTTATTCGAGATAAGAGTCCCATGGACTTTTCCTGCCCAGGCTGGCTTTGAACCTCGATCCTCCGATCTCAGCCTCCTGAGTAGCTAGGATGACAGGCGTGAGCCACTAGCACCTGGCTCTTCATAAAAATTCTTGAGCGTGGCTAAGTGGCTTGGGCCCTGGTAGTCCTTGGTGGTCAGACTTGGCCCTTTCTCCATAGAATTAGAGAGAAGGCTTGTGGGAGGTGTTATTAAAGTGAGCCTTGGTGTGCCAGTTCTGAGACAATGAGATTGGTATTGTCCTGCTAGGTGGGGCATAAAGGGGAAGGAAATCTCAAGTCCATACTTCTCAGACCACTCTGAGGGAGGAATCTAAGGGCTGTGCCGAGGTTGGTGAGGCCCAACAAAACAGACAGACCTCTGTACTTGTTGATATGTAGCCCTGGCCAGACAGCTCACTACCCCCATGTCTGTCCCCAGTTGGCGCAAATGCTGTGGCAGCCGTAGCGTGAGTGGAGCTGGGAGGAGGGACCCTGCTCATCCTCTTGCAGGTCAAGGGGAACCTTCCAGAAAAGGCAGGTGCTGGGGGGAACTGTCACTCCAATTAGAAACA